ATCGCTCGACAGCATCGAGGTCGTGGCCGTGACCGCATCCAAGAGTTGCCACGGCACCTACGTGGTCTTGATACTTTGATACACGCTTGAAACATAGTACCTTGTAGTGCAAGTGCTGCACGAGCTTTTCTTCAAACGTGTCGGCCAAGTCGTCAAAGACTTGACGGACGTACGCCTTCTCGCTGCTCGTCGCGTCGCCCTGGAGCGCAGCGAGTGCGTGGGCCGCGCGAAGGTGCGTCGGGTGCAGGGCGACGATCGCAGCGTACCCGGCCTTTACGAGGTCGGGCTCTTGCGTAAAAAACACAGAGCTACCATCTTCCTCTCAGTTGCCTGTGTTTGTCCATGGAGCGCACCGCAGCACCGAGTGGGCGGTGGCGTCGCTCGGGTCAACCTCGATCACGCGCAGCATATAAGGAATGGCGAGCCGCGTTTGACCTAGCTCGGAAAGTTCGTGCATCCTTCTCGGCACATGCGAAGAACACACCCATCGTATGCAAAATGACGGCGAGGTTGAAGTTGCTCTTGATGCAACGCGGGTCGAGCGCGAGGACGTCCGAGAATATGCACGCAGCGCCGTGGAAGTCCCCTTCGTCGTACATGATGTTGGCGTTCCGGCGCATCTCTTGAAGGAGGCGCGAGTCCGCAGGCGGCAGCGCCAACCGCGGCGTCAAGAGCTCTATTTGGACTGTATAGCAATCCTCCAGTAATCGATCAGCAATGAACCTTGGAGCAGCGCGCGGCCATCGGACGAGCAATGCGGGAGCGTCTAGATAGCGCCAGGATGGTTGCATTGTCAACTTGGCATGGACTCTACCTCGGGCGTGAGCGGCTGCAGCGTTGCGCCATCCAGCACGCGGATCTGCGGCACGCTGTCGATCTCAAAGTGGCGGTACAAGGTCACACGCCTGCACGAGACGCCATTAAGGACCTAATCGCGCACGCGCATAGTACTCGTCTTGGCAATGATACGGCAACACTTGCGCCCACGACGCCAGCCACTCGACGTGTTCTACACATTCGGTCAACGCACGTCCATGAAGAGGGTAGTCGGCGTACCTGTGAAGCGCACTTGGTCGAGCTCGGCCGACACAAACAAGACGGACGCGATCGCATGCTTGGTCACGAGGTCGTGGAGGCCTTTGAGCACACGCTCGTTGTGCGGCTTCGACCACGACGCGGAGAAGACGAGGATCATCGGGTGCGACGCTGCATACTCCATGAGCCCCGTACAGCATCACGCATGTGTATCTACCTGGCGCACCGTCGGCAGGTCGCGTCAGGTACGGCGCAAGGATCGCTTGGACCGTCGCCATTGTCGTCGATTTTCAAAGTGGCATCGTATCCGGACGCATCCGGTTTTATGGCACAAGATACCGCCACAACTTGCCCAACACGGTGGTGACCAGCAGGCCACGACAATGGTGCGCTTCGCACAGCGTCCCTGTCGCATCCATCCAGACACTGCAGTCGACCGTTGTGCTTGGTAACATGGAGGCTAATACCGCTGTGGTGAGCCACGCAACATCCTTCCATTCAATGTCACACTGCGAGTCTCGTCCTTGGCGACGCTCTCACACATTATGCATGTTCCTGGAGCTTTTGCAGCATAATATCACGCACGACAAGGATCATCTTGGGGTTGGCGAACAATTGACACATCTAGATTCCATACAACGTCAAGAAGCGCAGGAGGAGGCAGCACGCACCGTCTCATGCAAGTGGCGCTCGACGATATCCTCGCGCGCTCCTAGCCCCTTGGCTTGCAGCGCACGGCCTCGCTACATTACACAGGTCATTGCGCAGCGAAGCGCGGTGTTTGTGTTACCTGCGAAAGATGCTGCATGAAGGCAATGTACTTGGTGTTGATGAGGTCGACAGTCGCCGTGTCGGGATGCAGTCGCGTGGTTTGTGTCGGGACGCTCACACGCGCAGGCAGGGCGCCCGCTATCGGCTCTTGCAAGATGCTTCGACACTGCTCCCGAAGCAGCGAAAGGACGAGCTCGATCAAGAGCCCGGAGGCGTCGTCCACAGTGCGCGTCACTGGCGCCGCGTTCGTGCCGCCGCAACAGCACATGGACGATCGACATACATCATAGTAGAACGCATCAATGCCTGCATCCTACACCGTCACATAGTGCCCATGCCCACAAGAAATGACAAATGTAATACCATGGGCGCGCGAGGGGGCATCGGCGGCGGTGGCGACATTTCCGACGTGTCGCTGGTCGCCGGTCGGACGGCACTTGCATCGTCCAGCGCGGCTTCGTCACGTAGCGTTTGCAGCCGAGGTACCTCGTCCGGACACTTGTCCTTCAGATGGATTTCGTAGTCGTCTTTCGCATCCACCGACGTATCGTCCTTGTCTCCACAGTCCCATTGCATTCGATGCGTGTCGTCGTCGTGCGTCACTAGACCACGATCGTCGGCGCCACCGTCCTCCACTTGCTGCGGCTGGGTATCCTCGTCGTCGACACCAAGAGGTGCTTCGCTTCCCGGTGCGTCTGGCGCCTCGTAGTTATCGCCTTCTCTCCACGGGCTCTCGACACTGGACTCGAAGGCGTCGTTTGAGTAACCCACGTCGTCGGCATGGAGCGGTGGCTCGTCGCTCGGTCTATCTCTGCTCGGGCTCTCGCGACTCGCTTCAAAGCCATCGTCCGAATAGCCCAGGCCCGGATCATCGGTGGCGGGTTTTGGGTCAAAAGTATCGTCCACGTAGCTTTCGTGGCCAAGCGGCTCGTCCGTGGGCCCGGCTTGGCCATCGGTTGCTACGACAACGGCGTCGTCGCCGCTCGAAGCTGACGGAATACTCGACGAGGCGCTGGGCGAGACAGGCGGCACGTCGGCTTGCACTGGCAGCTCTGTCGACTCAAACTCATCAAAGGACGAAAAGCTGTACTCATCCATCGCGCAACCTTGCGTGCAGTTACATCCGCCCGCAACGATCCGACGACGCGTCTATCCAGTATCCAACGACGTGTCTATCCAGTATCCAACGAAATTGCCGTATGCACCACATTGCCGTATCCAAGATCCACCCACTTTGCCTTTGTGTATCCTCCTATCGAAAGCCATCGACAAACCTTGGAATGGACAATATGTCTTGTATCTCTACGACGGACTTTACTTAGACGGTGCCTTGTTTACAGCGCGGACGGGCCCGACCAGTGTATCACTTGGCTCAAGGGCGTCGGGGTAAACCGCGTCGGTCGATGAAAGGTTATCGCGTAAAAGGCATTTTCGATCGCGGCGACGACCCGGGCGAGGGCGTTGGCGCCGGCACCGACGTTGAAGAGGCCGCACTCGCTCAGGTCCGAGGGGTCGTCGAGCACGAGCCGGGGCACGGGGAGTGCGCCCTTCATCGTGGGTGGCACAAAGTACTCGCGCGAGAGCAGTCGGCCTTCGTCGTCGATGCACCACGTGATGCACGTCATCGTGTGATCAAAGACGGTACCATAGTACTCGAGAAAGCCCAGGACCGCCTCGCCGACGCTCTGCTCGGGCGGCGACGTCAACAGGTAGTGCAAACAGAGCAAGACGAGCGCATACGAGCTCAGGCCGCCAAGGAACGCATTGTTGAGGCCCTTCTCCCGCAGAAACGACTTGAGCACGAGCACGAGTGGGTACATTTGGACCATGGACGCGACGCCGGCGCGGACGACCTCAGTCGCGCGGAGGCCCTGGCGCGTGTGCGGTGTCTCAACAGCAATGTCGATCTGGCGCCCCGAGCCAACGACATCGAGCTTGATCACGGGCACTTTAGTGCCGACCACGACGGCGCGAGCAACCCAGTCTTTCGTGAGGAGGAGGCTCAAAATGATGTCGAGCTGGTCGACTTGCGCCTGGTAGTCGTCGCTGAGCGTCGCCTCGTCGTCGATGATGCCCTGGATGACGACATCAATGTCGCTCGACGGCAGCCAGAGACCGCTCGCAAACGACCCAAAGCACGTGGCCGTCGCGGTCGGCCACTTGGTCTGGACGCACGCCGTGAGCTGTGCGAGGCTCGCATCAATGTCGACCTGCGCGAGCTTGACGGCGCTCTGCGTGTGCTCGACAAACCGCCCAATCTCGATCGTGAGCCGGTCCTTGAGCGGCGTCGTTGGGTCCAGCATCACGTCGAGGTCCGTCGGCGCGCTGAGCCACACGGGCAGCGGCAGCGGTCGCTTGAGCGCGGGTGCGGGGCACCGCCGGGGTAGGCCCACGTCCTCTGTCGGGAGGTACTGCACCTGCGGCTTGCGCTGCTGCTCTTGCATGCTGCACTTGTTGTTACCCACGTCGTCGTTCCGCTCCAGCATCGTCGAAGCAGATTCAGCCATGTGGTCGCGTCTTTTTATCCAATCCGAAACCTTAAACGCGCGCTTGAATGGGTGGCGCCAATCAAATGTGCGATCGTGTCGCATTTTAGCCAATCACAACACTGCAAGGTAGAACCCGGGGCACGGCGGCGGCTGGTGTCTCGGAGATGCTGCCAAGACAATGCGACGAGAACAGCATGCAGCTTGGCCGCAAAAGCGACCTTCGACTAACTAACTCAGCCACAGTGTACCGGTTCTTTGCCATGCTCAGTACATCGCAAGCACCAATGCATCGTGATTGCGATCAAGATCGCCCACCGAAGCGTCCCTTGGTCTGACTCTTTTCTGCCTGCTGCTTGTCCTGCCTTGGTGCCAGCGCTTCAGTAGAGCGCCGAAGAGAGATGAAATGCAGCGGTGCTATCGTGGTGCTATCTATCTCATCGCTGTAGGCGATCGCTGGTTTCTGTTGAGCCACGGCTCTGCACGTTCTTGATAACTTGATACTTTCACTGGTGCCACACAACCGCGAGCTCCAGCGCGAGGCTTCCAGTTCGCTACCGGTAGACCAAGGGAATAATAATCATTCCTTGACTAGACGGACATCAGCTACTAGTACTAATTAGCAAGAAGTGTCTAGAAGATGTGCGGCAGCATGCATCTTAAAGCAACGGGCAGAGACTCGCTGCGGGGATGTCGAGCGTGTCGCCAGCATGCTTGTATTGCGTTGGGTCACGACGTTTTACTCGTAGCGAATTCATATAGGACCACACGCGTTTGGATACCTACAGAGCATAGAGCTGGTGCTGCTAGGACACTAGCACCGACCGTCTCCACGGAGTGGTTGTACTTGATTGGACAATTCAGCTTTCAATGGGACTCGTATCCGAAAACCATCCGGATAGACGCGATCAATGGAGACGGCGTTGGCCCAGACGAGCGACCACGGCGTCGCCGAGACCGCGTTCGATGCCATCCACTGCAAGATGTACATGCCTATTCCTTTAGGTAGTACTTACGTGGCGCCTCGTAGGTCGGCCGTCAAGCAAGGCTACTTTTCAGATGACTTTGTTGGCCTCTTTGGCCGCAAGCCCACGCGCCGCATTCCTCTCGTACGACTTTGCATCTGCTGTCACTCGACCAGCATCACACGCTTCGTCCTCTGCGTAGATCCATCGCGGCTACTACCTCCGGCACGTCGCTGTCGAGGCGGCGGTGAGCCTCTTCCTGTCGCAGCGAGCAACGTCGACGACGCCAGTCCAGATCCTCTCGCTGGGCGCTGGCTTGGACACGCTCTTCTTTCGCCTCCAACAGCAGCATGTAGCCCACATCTCCATGTACGAGGTCGACTGCAGTGCCATTACGGACCACAAGATCGACGTGATGACGGCCAAGATGGACCACCTTTTCGGCAAAACCTTTACACCAACAACCTCGGCCCATACGCTGGTGGCAACGTCGCCTACGGCCAAGTACGTTGCTCTTGCGTGCGACCTCGGCGACACGACGGCGCTCACTGCGCGCTTGACGGCGCACGGCTTGGATCCCTCGCAGCCAACGCTAGTGCTCGCCGAGTGTGTGCTGGTATGAATTTCAAGCGTGAACGATTGTCGACTCGAACGGCGTAGGCGTACTTAGCACCAACTGCGCGGTCGGCGCTACTGGAGTGGGCATCGACGCTCCTCTATGACGGGCTTTTCGTCGGCTACGACCCGATTGGGCTCCCAACTGCGTTTGGGCGTCAAATGTACGGGTATTTCGCGGCGAAAGGCTGCGACTTGCGCTCGGCCAAGGCGCTGCCCAGCGTCGACGACCAAGCGACGCACTTTGCGGTCCACGGATGGCCGAATGTCCGGCTCTACAATATGAATGCCGTCTACCGCCAACTTGTCGATGCGACCGAGCGCCAGCGGTATTGTCGACATTTTGAACGAGCGCCGAGGACGACAAAGTGAGGCACATGTGGTATTAGGATCGAGGCACTCGAGCCGTTCGACGAGTACGACGACTGGATCACGTGCAACCACCACTATGGCCTGACGCTCGCGTGCACGGGCGCCATGGACGGCGGCTCGGTCTGCGCCAAGGCACTTGGTCGCTGGCCCCGCCTGACGACGCACCTCCATGACGCGGCGATGCTCGATACGTACACCAACGGCGTCACGATCCGCCCGTTCCGGCCCTCGGACCAGGACGCGGTGCGGACCATTTTCGAGTCGACGCTCGACGAATACGACCACAAGTCGGTGCGCAAGCTCGTGGCGCATCAGCTCAACACGGAGCTCGCCGACGTCGCAGCATCGTACCTCGCACCTGCCAAGACGTGCTTCTGGGTGGCTGAGCGCGGGATCGAGTTCCTTGGCTGCGTCGGCGTCAAGCCTTTCAAGGACGACAGCATCGCCGAGCTCGTCCGTCTCCGCGTCGCCACGTACATCGATCGTGTCCTCGTTAAACGTATCTCATATCGTGGCGCTTGCGTAGGCGTGCGCGCCGCCTTGGCGTCGCCTCGCGGCTCGTGGCCACGCTCGAATACTTTTGCCGCGACGTTGGGTACCGTGCCGTGTACCTTGAGACGCTCGAAGCGATGGAGGCCGCACAGGCCTTCTACCTGCGCCTGGGCTACACGCATCTGGGGTCGGTTCGCGTGGGGAAGCCGCCCTCAGACTTTGGCCTCGAAAAGTTTCAGCGCGACCTGTAGAGCGTGCAGAAAAGAGAGGATAAACTTGCTATTCGAGAGGCTTAAAGTCAAAAAGGGCGTTTGTCGGACCATCGCGGGGCAGCGACAGCGTCGCAACGCGCTGCTCTTGGTTGGAGACGCGCGGTCGGACCTTGGGTGACCGCCAGCCCGACTCGGGGAACCGTCGCCGCCAGATCGTCGACGATGGCGGTGCAAGGTGTAGCCCGTCCTCGGCCGCCGCCTTCTCTGGCTTGTGCAGCAATGGAACCTCGTGGTTGTTGTTGTTGGTCGCGCGACGCCGCCAGCGCTCGGGCGCGTGGACGTCATCGGCAGGGTGGTTCGTCGGGCGCATTGGCTTGTAAAAAGCTGGAATGAACAAAATTAGAAACAGAAACATGCTCCGCAGATCCGACGCCTTATCAGTGGATGTCGTTACGACCTCGAGAGCGCCGGACGCATCCTGCGTGCGATGCCATCGACGCCGTGCTCCTTGAGCATCCGAGACAATATACTCGATCATCCCTCGGTGTCCGTCCATCCGGATGGCACAAGTGCAATCTCAAGTGCAATGTGACCAAGACCGTCACATGTGTATTAGTACACCGCGCTGCACACTGGCGCTACACCGCCGCTGGCGCTACACCGTCTACCGTCTCAACTGGCCGTCGCCGCCAGTGTTTTGTCACGATCGACGTCACATCTCATGCAAAGACAAAGTCGCACCAATGGCGAGGTGGGCCCACGATTGAGCGCATGTAGCTCATCCTACAGCAGTGGATAGAGACGGGTCTGTCGTCGAGAGGAGTTCGCGCGGCTGGCAGCCCAAGCCTGGCGACTTCAAGCACGTCTTCCATGTTGTTCGTTCCACCGGCGCGATCTTCAACTGACCAACACTCCGTCGCCGTGTTCGATTTTTTACCGCCAGGTGGTAGCCTTTCTGGTACCGTACGTACATTCTTGTATTGTGTACGGTACGTCTTCATGTTTGTATGAACGTACGTCATGTACGCCCAAGGCTGGGTCTGGCGTTTCGAAAAACCAAGGAGCTGACCAATCACATGACTGGATGCTGGAAATTTCGAAAATGCTTCTTTTCACAGCATGTTTGTATGATATACAAAGAATAAGATATCGCCCAACGCAAACCTCCTCGCTTTTCCCCAGTTTCCGATTTTCGACCATCTACCCTTCCAGCAGCAGCATGACGGCCGTCGCTCCTTCGGGCTTTGCCTTCACCTCGAGCCACGTCGAGTCGCAGATCGACCTCTCGCTCGATGAGCTCATCAAGCAGCGCCAGGTCGCGGCCAAGGAGGCCAAGGTACATGGCAGTGGGCATCGACGTGGGAGGCTCATGGGACGATACATGTAGGCCAAAGACGCATCGCCGACCAAGAAGAAGCAGGACAAGAAGCAGGTCAAGGCGACCGAGCCGCAAGTGAAGAAGACGAGCGCCCGCAAGAAGCGCAACAAGAAGGGCAAGAAGGCAGCGGGCGATGAAATCGTCACGATCCAAGTGCCCAAGGCGGTGGCCGAGAAGCTGGCCAAGGAAGCGGCCACGGCGCAGGCGCCGGAAGGCGGCGCGGCCAAGAAGAAGCGCAACCGCAAGAAGGGCAAGAACGCGGACGCACAGAGCGGCGACAATGCCCCGAAGGTCCAGCCCAAGCAGAACAACAACAACCAGGCCAAGAACACCAACAACAACAATGGCAAGAAGCAGGGCAAGAAGCAGAACGCCGGTCAGCAACAAAAGGGCGGCAACATCTCGCCCACCAACTCGGCCTCCAAGGTCAACACGTACGTTCCTTTTCTCTCGACGACACGATCTCATTGTGGATCGTATAGTAGCACCCGGAACGTCCTCTTCAACATCACGATGAACAAGAACCAAAACCCGGCCAAGAAGGGCAAGAAGTCGGATGGCGGCGCGGTGAAGCGACTGCTGGGCGACCACCTCTCGGCGCTCACGCTCAACGACACCAAGCAAAAGAAGAGCACCAAGAACGGCAAGAAGAAGGCCAACAACGCCAACAGCAACATGAGCAAGACCACCAACAACCAGGGCCAGCGGAATGGCAAGAAGCAAACCAAGTTTGTGACCAAGAAGCGCCAGTCGCGCAAGGCATGAGCGCGCCATTTTTGTACTACCACTTGATAATATATTGCCACACTCGCTACCACGACTACGGCTGTCCCTCGGAGGCGGCGAGAAAGCTCAAGTCGGTCACATCTCCCGGCGTCAGTTCCCACACCTCGGCGAGGTGCGCCTCGTTCCAGAACTTTGTCAAGTGGCGCTGGCCCGAGTCGCAGAGCATGGTGACCACGACGTGGCCAGGTCCGAGCTTCTGGGCTGCCCGCACGGCCGCCACGCAGTTCATGGCACTCGAGCTGCCGACAAAAATGCCTTCTTCCAGGAGCAGGTAGCGGGACATGTCAATGGCTTCTTGGTCGGTGACGCGGTACGCGTCATCGATGCGGGCCTTGGCGAAGTTGGCCGTGAGGCGGTCGATGCCAATGCCTTCGGCGATCGTGTCGTAGCTACTCCAGGAAGGTGAGACATCGTGGCAGAGCCGCTTGAAAGGTACCGATGGCGCTTGACCGTGCGCTCCGACTGCTGCGGCGCGTAGCAGACGTTGTGGCGGACCTAGTAATAGCGCATACAGAGGGGCCCGTCGATATTAGTAGACAGCACCTTGTTGTAGAGGCTCGAGCCCGGCGGGTCGGCCAAAATGACTTGGACGGCTGGGTTCTTCTCCTTGAGGTAGAGCGAGACGCCGGCGATCGTACCGCCCGTGCCTAATAAGCAGCAAGGTAGGAGAGGCAGAGCAAGAGAAGCACGCACCTGCCGACATGACGTACGCGTCGACCTGCCCGTCGGTTTGCTCCCAGATCTCGCGGCCCGTCGTGTAGTAGTGGACGTCGCAGTTGGCAAGATTTTCAAACTGGTCGGCGAAATACCCGCCTCCAGATTCGCGTGAAAATGCGCACGGCTATATGCAGCGTACCTGGGATCTCGCTGGCGCGGCGCCGGGCTTGGTTGACGTAGTGCTTGGCGTTGACGATCGAGGCCGGCTTGACAAACTCGACGGCCGCACCAAACTGCGTGAGCAGATCGCTCTTCTCCTTAGCTTGGTCGTCCGGCATCACGATGAGGCACTTGTAGCCCTTGGCTGCATGCACATCGTGATGACCAAGCGTTGTGTGCGCATGGTACCTCGGGCGATCAGGGCCAAGCTGATGCCAGTGCTGCCCGACGTGCCTTCCACGATGGTGCCGCCCGGCGATAAGAGGCCTCGGGCTTCGGCATCTTCGACAATGCCCTTGGCAACACGGTCCTTGGAGCTGCCGCCAGGATTGAGAAACTCCGCTTTAGCCTACGCACATACTGAGTGGCACGAGGTACAAGCATGCTAAAGTGTACAAGGATCGTGCAGCCCGTGGCGGCCGAGAGGCTCTTGAGCTTGACCAGAGGCGTGTTGCCAATGAGGCCCGAGTGGCCATCGCAGAGCTGGTCGGATCGGCGCTGCAGCTTGGCCTCCTTCTCACGCAGCGACCAGTGGGCCATGGCCGCGGCGACGAGCGCGACCGCCAGCAGGACGCCGGTCGTCGTCGACTCCATCGGTTCAAGGTGCAAAAGCCCAAATGATTGGCCGTTGCAAATTATAAAAAGCCAGCGCTAAAGCTATCTTGGTTCATGTATGTAAGGACAATAAACTGTAAACGCGGCATCTGCCACGGATATCCAAACAAGATTCGGCATCTTTGTGGGCTCGCAGCAAAAGCTGACAGCAAAGAGCCCATCAATGCAAGCCCGACCTGTACTGTATTCTACCGAGGCTTGACGAACGCAGCCGGTTGCTTTGGCCCCACTCATTTGCCGCCGACCCATCCACCTCTCGAGGCTTCGCACGTCCGACCTGGGTGCGCCGCTTATTTTCGGCAATCGCGGCCATCATCTGCCGAAAATTGAGCGATCAGTCACCAAGATCGGACGAGCATGGTGTACCGCGACGACGAGACGCAAGCGCTGGTGCCCAAGGCGCGGAGCACGACGCCATGCCTCATGCTCCTCACGTGCTGCTCGTGCATCGGCGGCTTCCTCTTCGGCTACGATACGGTTGGCGCGATGGTCGACGCGGTCGACGCTCATGATGACGCGTAAATGTAGGGTGTCATCTCGGGCGCCCTCGTCTCGATGCAAGGCTCGGACGGTGGCTTCTCGCTCACCACGCTGCAGTCGGAGACTGTCGTCTCGGCGGCCATCGTGGGCGCGATCCTCGGCGCGGCCATGGGCAGCTACGGCAACGACCGCTTCGGGCGCAAGCCCATGATCTTGGCCTCGTCCACGCTCTTCACGCTGGGCGCCGCTGCCATGGGCCTTGCGTCGACACTCTCCATCTTGATCACTGGTCGCTTCGTCGTCGGCGTTGCCATTGGCGTCTCGTCCATGACAGGTACGACGCCCACCAACGCCTCACCATACTGGTTGGTCTTCGTAGTCCCCGTGTACATTGCCGAAGCGTCCCATCCAGGTACACTCTACGCCATTATGGGCATAGCCCTATAATCTGCTAACGCTGTAGCTTCGCGGGGGACGCTCGTGTCGCTCAACACGCTCATGATCACCGGTGGTCAATTCGCCGCCAGCGTCTTTGACGGCTTTCTCAGCACGACGCCGCAAGGCTGGCGCTACATGCTCGGCCTCGTCGTGGTTCCGTCCGTGCTGCAATTCATTGGCTTCCTCATGCTGCCAGGTAGACATCGTGGCCATCATTATCCTCCACACCACACATGCATACTGTAGAAAGCCCGCGCTGGCTCAATGACAAGGGGTTCCGCGTCGCGGCGCAGGACGCGCTTCTGCGGATTCGCGGCTCGGCCGACATTTACGACGAGTGGGAGCTCATGGTGGCCGAGGCCGACGCGTCCGATTTGCGCGAAAAGAACTTTGTGGCCGACCTCAAAGCACCGGCGGTGCTGCGCGCCTTGACGCTTGGCTGTGGACTCCAAGTACGTCGTTATGCTCTGTACTCTGCAAGAGACAAGACGGCTTTTGCGTAGATTCTGCAGCAGCTCTGCGGTATCAACACGGTCATGTACTACGGCGCGACCATTGTTCAAATGGCGGGCTTCAACGACCCGTCGACCGCGATCTGGCTGGCGGCGCTCGTGGCCTTCAGCAACTTTGCCTTTACGATTGTTGGCATCTTCCTCGTGGACCGGTACGTGTCTAGCTGTCGCTGAATAAGGCGACGATGTGATTCTAGTGCGGGGCGCCGGCCGACGACGCTTTGGAGTCTAGCCGGTGTCGTGCTCGCGCTAACGGCTCTTGGCACGGCATTTCACCTCGCCGAGTCGGTGTCAATCCCTGTGCATGGCGTCGGCGCCTGCGCGTCGTTTGGCACATGCTTTGACTGCGTCGCGAACCCTGGCTGCGGCTACTGCGCGGCCACCAACACGTGTCTGCCGGGCTCGGACGTGACGCCGCTAGACGCGTTCCTTTGCGAGAATAAGCGCCTCAACTGGTCGTTCCACACGTGCCCGACCAAGTCGAGCGTCTACAGCTGGCTCATTGTCGGCGCCATGTTTGCGTACCTTGCGTGTTTTGCGTCCGGCATGGGTGCGTTGCTGGTTTTGTATCAAGTTGATACAATTGAACGGTGGTGTAGGCTGCATGCCGTGGACGATCAACGCCGAGATTTACCCCACGAGCGTCCGTAGCGCCGCGATCGGCCTGGCGACCACGTCCAACTGGGTGGCCAACCTCGTGGTGTCGTACACATTCCTCTCGATCACCGAGGCCTTGTCGCCGGCCGGGGCGTTCTACCTCTACGCGGGCATTGCGGCCCTTGGGTTCATTTGGCTCTGCAAGGCGCTTCCTGAGACGAAAGGGCTTGCGCTCGAAGACATCCAGCGCATCTTTGAAGACGACAAGGCGCAGTGATGGCGCTGGTATAGAGAATTCTGCTTACGTGTTCGAGTTGAACAGCATCAGTTTGCACTTTTGTCGTCCTGAGGATTAGGAAATACACGGTCCTTGAGCCACAGAAAGAACGCACAGGACGACGGCACAGAGCCTGCACAAATGTAAAAGTACTCGCCATGACTAGCCTTGGAGGGCTTGTTGACGGTGCGCAGGACGGCGCGCTTCTCGCACTGACAGAGCGGCGATTCCGTCATGTAGAGCGGCCGAAGCATGCGAAACGTCAAGTTGATGCGCGCGTCCTTGGCGTCATGATGCCACTTGACTTGGTTTGGCCGAACCGGAGGCACCTCGTGCCGGTACAGCTCCTAGACTGCGTCGATACATTGAAATATTGATACTGCCTACTTGAAACGGAGGCAGCATGATCAACAGCGAGTTGTGGGGCAGCGCGAGGTTGAACGTTTGGGCTGGATAGCTCTCGGTCGGGAGGCGCTTGATACGAAAGACACGCTCGGCGCCAAGGGTCAGCGACGCGATCGTCGGCCGCGGGCCGAGGTCCGTGAGGGCGTCCGAGTGCGCACCAACGCTCTGGTGATGGGACTTGTAGCAGTTGGCGAGCGCCACGTTGGCGGCCCAATCATGCGCCGCCTCGAGTGCGTGACGCGGCCGCGTCGACAGCACTGCGTTGACCGCTGCGTCCACGGACGCCTTGGCCGCCAAGAGGGCCAGCGAAAACGGTGACGACTCGACTTGGTCGCTGTACATGGTCGTGCCAGGCACGGTCGCGTCGAGCTTGTAGAGCCGCGAGACGTGGGGCGAGAGCACCTCTATTCGCACGTGGGTCAAGGCCTCGGACAACTTGGAGTTACCTCGCTCAAAGATGACCCATTTGATCGTGTGCCACGTGGCCGCGTCCGCAAGCATCTCGTGAAGCAGCGTGTTGGCTTGGTCGGGTGGCAAGAAGCTTGTCGTCAACGTGAGTGGCAAGCCCGCCGCGGCCAACGTCGCCGGCGTCAGCGTGATCGGGCGCTGCGCCTCCTTGGCGGGGTCCCACTGCTGTAGCTGCGCGATCGGCACCGTCGACGTTGATGGCGGCGCCGTGTTCTTGAGGCGAATGTCGGGCGGTGGTGCCCCAAAGAGCTCGCGGATGTCGACTGTCCGCTTGCGCTTCTTGACGCTATTGGGCTGGCGCGAGAGGAGGCGGTCGATGGCGCCATCAAGGCTCTTGGCCTTGACGAGCGCGTCGCCGACGATGCACGCATCTTCTGTCGGGAACATCTCGAGGAGCTGGGCGAGGTGCGAGCCAAAGGCCGCGTCGTCGTCGGTGTTGTGGCGCATGTTGGATTTTGCGGCCACGTAACTGTCACATTATATAAATACGTTTGTTTTGTGTATCTAGGCATTTGTATCAAGCATAAAATATGCCAATAAATGCGACTTGGCGCCAACGGCGGCGTGACCCAATTCGCGCGAAATTGCACTTTCTTGCCGAAGCCATCCCAATTCCGACATTCCGATATTCGTCTGCGATGGCGCCCAAGGCCGTCGGTAGCAACAAGGTGCTCTGGCGCGGCAAGTCGGTGACCCTCCACGGTACGTGGCAACCGCGGCAGCTCGGGCGGCTCACGAACGACGATGGGATATCGCGTAGACATTCGCGTGTACAAGCTCATTAGCCGCGTACGTGGCTGTCTTTGGCGTGCATAATGACCTAAGGCGCTGGATAGATTCCTGCAGGCAAGGTCGCCACGTACGGCAGTGTCGCCAAGGCGATCATGTCGGGCCCACGCGGCGTCGGCCAGGCGTTACGGGTACCGATGCATCTATGGCTTCTCAGAACCGCATGCTGCGTATTAGCGCAACCCGTTTGCACCCGACGTGCCGTGCCACCGCGTAGTGAATGCGACGCGGTGCTTGCATGGCTTTCGCGGGTCGCTGGACCCGACGTGCCACGACCTACAGGACAAGCACGCGTTGCTCGTGGGCGAAGGCGTCTTGATCGCCGACCACAAGGTACTGCAATTCCGAGAGAGAGAGAAGATAGCGAATTAGCTTGTGCATTAGGTCGACGTTGGCTGCATGTATACCTTCACGCCCGAAGACGTTGCGTCGCTCCAGGACGACGCAGAGCCATCGACTCGTGTCACTATCAACTTCATTAACTGCAAAAAGCTTTAGTAGCAACTAGACGTTTCGGAGGTCGACGCGACTGCGGGCAAGCTGGAACGCTGGCTGCTGGAACGTCCCGAGACTGCATCTACACGTGGCAGCGTGAGCGCGGTATGTGCTACGGAACCCGACTTGAGCCCAAACCAATGAAAGACACCGAGCTTGGTCTTGCACCGCGGACACGTGATCTTGCCTTGTTCGCCCTGCACGTCGTCAGCGAAATGTCGTGCCAAATGACATGTCTACCTGGGTCTCGAGGTGCATCCACGGCATTGGCTCCACGTACAGGCCGTCGCACAGAGTTGCGGCTATCAAAGAGGCTCTTTAGCTGTATACATGGCGGAAGGGCCCATACCGTTGGCACTGCTATGGGTATGCTCCACCTAGACATGAACCATATCTTGCCATAAGCGCATCCGACCTCAGCACGTACCGCATTGAGCGTCGTGCAGAGCAGCTGATTGCATTTTTTGCAACAGCACTTGGCGCCACCGCTGGCCGCGAGCTCCAACGGCGAGAGCACCACTGCGTACGTGTTGCGCTTGTGCTCGTGGGCGCACATGGTGCGGTACTACGACAAGCGCTCTGTGTTGGACATGGGACTTTGAGAAAGATGAAGACCGTCGCGTGGGCGACCGAGTGGCCCGTGAGCGAGCACTCCATTCCATCAAAGAGCTCGAGCTGCCGGAGAAAGCCTGCATTGATGTAGATGCATGGGCGCGCCGCTTGCACAATCGCGTACGCAGCGGGAAGGCGCAAATTGTCGAGCTGCATGAGAAAGGCGACGCAGATCGCTGCGCTGCGCGACTGGCCGTACGCGCAGTGGACGAGCACATTGCTGCCGGCCGCTAGCCGCGCGTGCAAGAAGGCGTAGCACGCAGGCAGATGCGGTAGCAAGAAGGCGTCTTCCATGTCGACGATCGCAATGCAGAGCACATCGTCGAGCGGCGAGAGGTTGCCCGTGCCAAGCGCGATGATGGCCGATATCCCTTGCGCGGCCGGGGTAGCCGCTGCGTCCGCATGGCCCACAAAGAGCTGTCCGGGCAGCGAGCAGGGCACGACGGCGAGGTCGGCGCAGGCAGAGACAGGCGGGTGGCACCGCTGGCCGGCTTCGATCTTGCGCCACATGCCGTGATCGAATGGGCCGGGATACCGTACGACAACTCCCTCATACTGTATCGTTTGCATTGCAGTGAGAGAGTTGCCCTTCAAGAACCCACCGGCGGGTGGAAAGACGGCCACTTGAACGATGGCGACGCATGAATTATCCTCCTACGCCAGTTAGTGGCGTCGACGCTTTGCTGGTAATCTTATAGCAATATATCGAGAGCTCGAATGCGATCGACTATCTCAACGCATATCGCAATGATCGAGGCAAAGTGGTCAGCGGCGGCGAAAATTGGTTGGTTCCCGATTCACGCGGGATTTCTCGATTCTCCGACAACGTCTCAGCCCTGCAGTAGGTCGCCGTCCTTCTCGCACTGTTAAAATGGGTACCTCAGCCTTCGTAGGCAGACACGTCGACAGGAGCCTCCTCTGTAAGGCGCAACGCTCGCGTTCGAGCAGAAACAGCAAGCTGCAGTAGTAGTAAGGCCGTAAAATGTCCTTGGTATTAGAGTACGCGTCGAGCACCTGCGACATGCAGCGCCACCAAGAAGCCGACGCCATGTCGGCGGGTCGTCGTCATCGCCGTCTACCTGACTCTGGCGTCAAGTACATGCGCTTCCGGCGTCTTCATCCTCGTGGTGCGCTGCTGACGTCGTTAATTAGTCGATGCGAGTAGGTCCTAGTCGCTCCTCCGTCTTTCTGTTTGCTCTTTGACCTTCAAAAAGTATCTTTGGTCCTTCGCGTGCACACAATTGGCAGCTCTCGCGTCGTCTCGTTACTCACGGTCAATTCCTTGATTTAGATGCATGCTCATTGTTTATAGGGAATTGTCACTGCGAACGTGTAGTGGATCGACGGTCGCGATGCGTTAATTGCCCGAATGCCATTAAAAAAAGATGGTATTTAGATGATGTGTTTGTATGCTGAGACAGGAAAGCCTATTTAATTGGATTTTGCCCACCGCGTTCGACAACGAGTTGCCCATTTCCGCAGTCCAGCCCATCGCCGACGTCCAGCGCCGTGCATAGAGACGCCGTCTGCCCGAGATGGACGACGAGAGGAGACGAGACGACGTGCCAGACGACCGTGGCGCCCGCGCACCTGACGGTCATGGCGCCCGCGTACCCGACGGCAATGGCACCCGCGTACCGGGAGAGCCGGCGCCGCAGTCGTCGCCGGCGGCTGACGACCATTACCGCATCCGCATCTCGTCGATCGAAGGCTCGTCCGATAGCTCGCTCGGGTCTCGTCGATCGTTGCCGCGCATCTCGGCCAACTCGGACAAGTCGTCGCTCTGTGGCTCGTTCATCAAGCCGACGACGCCTCTGTCGCCGGACGAGGCCCAGCTCTGGAGCCTCCACGACGACGAGCACGACTTGCCCATGATGGAGCTGACCCGACCCCGGTCGCCGTCGCCACCACCACCGCCAGTGCCACGCCGCCACACGGACGCGCGACCGCCCACCGGTATGGCCGCGTCCGCGCATCCGACAGGCACCATGTCGGCGGCGCGGCTCTTTATGATGCCCCGGCGGTCCGAGCCGCAGTTGCCGCTGCACATGAACCCGCCTCGACTGCGCGCTGCGACCACGACAGCGTACCGGTCGCTGCCGCCGCACCTCGAGGAGCCGCGGCTGCGGCTCGCGCCGCTCAAGCGCACAAGCGGTCTCAAGCCGCCGACAGCGCTCGACGACGACGACGACGTGCCGCCCGAGCTCGTCGAGCACATGTTTGCCATCACACCGCCGTCGACACCGGCACAAGACGACGACGACGTCGACGACTTTCGACGTACGATCTCGCCGATCGCGGTCATTGAACCCGCGGCGTCGCGCCAGCTCACACTGCTCGAGAGCCTCATGTCGCTCGCGCATCGGCTCGGCGTCTTCATCTTTATCGATATGGTATTCCACCATCTTTTGTTATCGAGGTTGTCTTATTGTCTACTGGCGTGTAGACCGTCAAGCTCATCATGTTCCTCGTCTTCATGTCGTACGAAGATCCGCTGCGCATGATCATCTCGATCTTTGGCTACTCGATCGTCTTCAACTTTAGCCCGAAACAATATTTTGTCGTACGTCGCATGTATCAATCTATCAAGTGCCACACAACTTGGTAGTTTGCGACGCTGTGCACGATCGACAGCCTCCTCATCGTGTACCTCTGGAACAACAACCCGGAGAAGGACGCGTACCGTAAAGTCCTCAGCGGTCTCGACATCGCCGTCATCGTACAACCTCTCCCCTTGAAGTCTCCTCCGTTTCACGCACGACATCGCGCTAGATGATCGAACTCATGTTCACCATGCGCCTCTTGGCCATCACCCACCGCCTCAGCGAAGAGGGTACGTCGGCATGAACCTCTCAAAGCATGTGGCTCATGACAGAGATGGCGTAGAACTTCAGCAGCTCCATGAACGATGAGAGAGCTTATTATTTATCTATACCCCTCATCCCACGTTACCAGTCGTCGTCTTCGAGCGCGTCGTTGAGGAGGTCAGCCGCACTGGCTTGGGTAAACGTCACGACGCGGCGCGCGGGCATCACAAAGTCGACGTCGAAGTCCTCCGGCAGAGTCATTTCGATCCCGGTCTCATCTTCCTGTGTGCCGGGTCGGTCGAATGGAGGTACCGACGGCGGCGACGCCATCGGTAGCGTGCGCTTCACGGGCAACAATGGCTTGAGTGGGACGGGGGCCGGACTCACGTTCTCGGAGCTCGTGATCGAGACGGCGGGGCTCGCGCCGGTCGGCTTCTTGCTCTGCGGCTTGAACGACTTCCACGCCCACTTACCTTTGGGCTTGCCCCCCTTGGGTTTCGACGCCTCGGGCAGCGGCGCCGGCGCCTTGGACGACCGCTGGATCACTTGACGCTGCGTCATGAGCGCGAGGTCCGCCGACGTTGTCGCCGCGAGCGAGCTGTCTTCGAGCACCTCGATCACGTCGCCTTGGTCGCGATGAAACGCCGCAACGTCCTCGTCAAATGCGTCGGTCGCAGGGAAGAGGTGCACAATGTTGCCGGCGCAAATGTTCAAGTACTGCTGCCGCCGCTCGACAGGCATAAAGACCGTCACCTAACCCTAGTTGTCTCTACCTCCGAGCACAGACAGATGCGTACATTGCGCAGGACAAGACCGGTGCCCTTGACGAGCGCGATACCAATGGCATCGACTACGTCGCGGTGAAAGTACCCGTCGATCGACCCAAGCGGATCCTATGGCCATGGATCGACTAGGATCAACCTACTAACTAAATATTCCAGGACGTACGTGGAAGGTGGCGATGATTTCTTCGTCAACGTACTTGGCCGACTGGATGAGCACAAGCAAGTCCTAGCATAGCCATGGCTCTCTCGCCTGCAGAGATAAGGACGATGCTAGCACCTCTTCGACGATGCCCGAGGTCTGGAAGCCCGCGGCGATCTGCTCCGTGTTCATGCGCAGCCGGCTCAGGTCGATCCCGCCTAGAGGATGATGATGAGCATGAGGCTTCGCTCATAAGCTAGTGCTTATGCTACCGTTGATGACGCCTTCGGTCGGGTTCAGGTCCATGTACTGGCACATCTCGATCCACGGGCCGTGCTCAAAGTCGGTGCTCTCAAGGAGTTGCATCGCGCTTGGCCCGCCATGGTCGGTCCTAGGACAATGCTCGATGGCGAGCGCGACGTCGTCGTCGTACGTACTGTAGCGTCTGATGGCGCTTCCGCCATAGATCGCCGAGCGGGCCGTTGATCTTGCGCATGGGCGTGGCTACATGCACCTAGGTATCGCTGCCCGGAAGCATCATCATCCTACTACCTCGGTCGTCGTCGTCGCCTTGGCCGTGCATGCTTGAAGCGCCACGCTCAATCTCGCGTCTGATTGGCTTACACACCGTATCCGGTCTCCGAGTTTTGGATTTTCGGTTTGACGATGGCAGCGCAGGACCGGCTCGCACGGATTCGCGCCCACCTCCAGGCCATCGACGTCGCCGTGTACGTAGCGAGCGAGGCCTCGCCGGCAGCATCGCCCGACCCCGCCAAGCTCGCGACGGTGCTTCCGCCGGCGGCCCAAGCGTTCCTCGCCGGCTTGGCGAATGCGTTTCGGGTCGACGTTCGGGCGCTGCACGTCGCACGCCTCCAGCGCCAGCTCGAGCTCGATCTGTGCAGCAGCCTCGAAGAGGCGCACGCCACGTGTGTCTTTCGCAACGGTCCGTACGTCGACGGCGACGCGTGGACCATCGACCCACTGCCCGAGGTCCTGCACGATCGCGGCGTGGACATTGGCGACACGTCGCCTGCGCGCACCGACGAGCTTGTCGCGGCAATCAATTCGGGTGCGCAAGGCGTTCAAGTGGACATGGACGACGGTCACTGCCCGTCGTGGAAGAACGTCATCCACGGGCACTGGAACCTCTTGCACGCTGCACGTGGAACGCTGCCAGGCATCACGCATTCGTCGCCCGCGCTGCTCTTACCGCGGCCACGTGCCTGGAACATGGACGAAGAGGTATTCCATGCTGCTGTGGCTTGGCTCATGCACGCTGCCGTCGCATTAGCACGTCTTGGTACACGGCCACGCAGTGCCCGGCGCGCTCTTTGACTTTGGCCTGCACATGTTTCACAGGTACTGCTCGACCAAGCGCGTCTCCTGCATCTGCCGTAGCGCCGCGCACTTGATCGCGACGGGCCGCGGCCCCTTTTTCTATTTGCCCAAGGTCATTGGCCTCTGCATAAAGGTGACTCGTCTTACGATGAACGTAGCTCGAGTCGGCGGCCGAGGCGGCGCTCTGGGCCCGCGTCTTTGCGTACACGGAAGCGACCCTTGGCTTGCCCGTGGTGCGCCCTCTCTGTCTGCGTCTTGGCTTGACACGCGCGGTAGCATTCCATCAAGGCCATCGTGCTCATCGAGCACATTTTGGCAGCGTTCGAGATGGACGCGATCTTGTATGAGCTCCGGCACTACTCGGCGGGTACGCTCGCTGCGCTCTGTCGACGCTGACCCATGCGCGTGTACAGGGCTCAACTGCGGCATGTGGGACTATACGGCGTCCATCTTGAGCAAGTTCCGGTCGTTCCCTGCTGCGTCGCTGCCCGACCGGCAAGCCTACGTGTCGATGCAGACACCGTTCCTGGCGTGCGCTTTCAGATCCAAGCGCACATGACTGAGGCGGTGCGTAGGCACTACATGCGCCTCCTCCTCGCCACGTGCGCGCGACGCCGTGCACCGGCCACGACCGGCATGGTACCGTTCGTCCTCGAGCACGCCACGCCGGCGGAGGCCGCTGTGATGCTCGAGAAGACCCGCGCGGTATGCACGAGTGTGTCAAGAGAGCTTGCGTGTAAGGTGTGTAGGCCAAATCGTACGAAGCGAATTGCGGGTCCCACGGCGCGTTGGTGTTTGACGTCTCGCTCGTGCCCATCGTCCAAGAGGTCGGTCGACATGTGCTGCCATGTGAGGTCGACTTTGAATTAGATCTTTGCGCAAAAAAGTCCGCGGGTCGTCGAAGCGGTGGCCACGCCAACTCCGCGCGATCTTCTCACGCTCCCGCGTGGCCACGTGACGATGCACTCGGTCGACTTCAACCTGCGCGTCGTCCTCGCTTACATTGAGGCGTGGGGGCGCCAAGATGGCATCGTCGTCCTTGACCACAGTGTCGAAGACTCGGCGACGGCCGAGATTGCGCGGTCCCAGGTACGCTTGCTACGAGACAGCCCCGACGTGACGCTTCGTAGCTCTGGCACTGGATCAAGTTTGAGCATCCGCTTCAGGATACGGACTGCGTCGTGTCCATATCGTGCGTCTCCGCCTCACACGAGTCGACAACTTCATGTGAGACGCTCGATAGGCTCGTGCATGCGTTGCTCGCACAAATCGCCCATGCGTACGCGCCAGCGACGCGCCGCCTGACGCTCCATGTGCTCCAAGTGCAGCGCTTTCCAACGTTCTTGACGTCGTTCCTGCAGTCGCAGCGGCTCTTGTGGCAGTAACGACAATATTGGCGTCCTCGGTATAAATGGTGATACTGCCTCTTACGTAAAGCTCTCCATACTCGCGACGTTGGTGTTTTCGACGACGTAGTAGCCCGAGCTGGACGAGGGCACGTCCGCTTTGGTTCGCTTGATGAACGCATCGACCACGACGTCGCGATTGCAGATCAAATCGAGCTCGGCGTCCGTGATGCCGCCGGTGGCTTCTTTTCGGATGGCAATGTCGTCCTTGAGCAGCGCTTCCAGCTCGTCGAGCGAGAGATGCGTCTCCTTTGTCGCCTTCTTCTGCGATGAAAACTCGCCGCGGCTCAAGACGACGCGCTCCAGCGTGCGCTTGGCGTTCGCGCGCTCGAGCATCCGGTTCTCAAACGAATTCTCGACAATGAGACGGTAGACGGCCACGTCTTTAGTTTGGCCAATGCGGTGGCAGCGGTCTTGGGCCTGGCTGTCTTGGTGCGGGTTCCAGTCCGAGTCGTAGAGGATGACCGTGTCCGCGCCCGTCAAGTTGATACCGAGGCCACCGGCGCGCGTCGACAGCAAAAAGATCTGCAGCCCGCCGTTCGGATCATTGAACGCGTCCATCGAGCGCTGGCGGTCCCGAAAATGCGTCGCGCCGTCGAGGCGGCAGTACTCGTACGCCCGGAGCTGCATGAAATCTTCGAGGATATCGAGGACCTTGGTCATTTGGCTAAAGATGAGCACCTTGTGCTTGGCCGTGAGCAGACGCGTGAGCATCTTGTCGAGCACCATCATCTTGCCGGACGTCTCGATCAGCGACTCGTTGGTCACGAGCTCGCCGTTCGCGTCCGTCTCTTCGTCAAACAGAAACGGGTGGTTGCAGCACTTGCGCAGCTGCATGGCGAGGTTCTTGGCCGAGCCCGCGCGCACCCCTACCGTGCAACAGAAAAGCTGATCGCCATCAAGTGGGTAGAGGAGCGCGTACCGGCATTGTACTTGCCATACTTTTGCTCCAGCTCGCCTTGGAGCTTGCGGTCCGCAATGAGCCGGTAGTAGTGTTCTTGGAGCTCCGTCATGGCGCAGTAGACAACGAGCTCCGTCTTGGACGGTACGTCAGCGACCACGTCGTGCTTGAGACGGCGCAAGACAAACGGTCGGAGGATCTCGTGCAACTTCGAGACCACTTGGGATTTTTTGTGGTTGTTGAGCACGTCCTTCTTAGAGATAATGTCGTTGGTGCCCGTCGCGTCGCCCGACGAGAACCAGCTCTCAAAGAGCGCAAGGTCGTCAAAGACGTCCGGTAAGAGAAAATTGAGGAGGCTCCAGAGCTCGCTCAAGTTGTTTTGCAGCGGCGTGCCCGAGAGCAGGAGGCGGTTCTCCGACTTGCACTTCTTGAGTTCGCGCATGAGGAGGCAGTTCATGTTCTTGAGACGATGGCCTTCGTCAATGATGATGTACTTCCAGACGTACCCAAGCGCTGTGAACGAGCTCGCATCGCGAATGATGACCTCGTACGACGTGATGATGACAGGAAAGTCGGCCTTTGCTTGCTTGCCACGGCCACCGAGCACCTTCTTGCGCATCTCGAGGCGCTCGGCGCTATTGCCATGGTACACCAAGCACGGGATCGACGGCGTGAAGCGCTTGAACTCGTTCTCCCAGTTGGCGAGCGTCGAGAGCGGCGAGACCACGAGGAAGGGCCCGGTCACACCTTTCGCCTTGAGCTGCGCAATCATGCCAATGACCTGGACCGTCTTGCCGAGGCCCATCTCGTCGGCGAGGATGCCGTTGAGGCCGTTCTCGAAGAGGTTGCACATCCACTGGATGCCCTCGAGCTGGTACGAGCGCAGCGTCCCGCCCGTGAGCAAGCTCGGCTGCTTGAAGTTCATCTCGGCGACCGTGTGCGCGGCCGATGCTTCGTTGATCTTCTGGAGCTTGGTCGCACCCGTCTTCTCGGTCTTGCGCCGCTTCTTCGAGTCCTTCTTGGGCGTCGTATCAGCCAAGGGCGCGTCCATGTTGGCGAGGAGAAACTTGGAGTACGCGCCGGCCTTCTCGAGGAGCGAGTCGAGCTTCTGGACGCGCTTGCTGTACGAGAGGCCGTCGAGGCCGTCCTCGGGCGTCGCGTCCTCGGCCTCGCGCTCGCCGGCGAGCTCGTCCTCGATCTGCTTGAGCTTGACGTCGACCGTCTCCTCGAGGCTTGCGTCCATGCTCGTCTCCTCCACGCGGCCGTCTACCTCGGGCGTGATGAGCTCCATCTTGGTCTCGGCCGTCGGCGCCATGGAATTCCGGTTTGATGCGAACTCCAAGATGGTATTTTAATACCCGTGCATTTATTCGCCGCGAGGAGCATACAAAATGCAAGAGAACTATCTACGCGCGCAATTAAATGTGGGTTGCCATCCGAGTTGGCGCGCGCCAAAATCCACGCTCTCTCGCACCACCGGTGTCCTTTATCCGGATATCCGGATACCGAAAGATCGGCGCCACCTTGCCGTTTGCCGTTGGGCCACTGCACGACGGACGTGCCACGTATTGCAAACCAAATAAGAACTTGTTGGATGGTCGAGTGTCCATGAGCTTTGATTATGTCGTCGTGTTCGTAGGACAATGACAGCGTAACCCACGAGCGCTTGCACTGCAGAGTACGTTGTAGGACGGTGGGAAGCAGGGCTCGAGGACAATCGTTCATTGTGGAAACACGCGCGCAAGGCGGTCCACAATGCTTCCCGCCAAAAGAAGGTGCGCTGTCGATTTGAAGGACATGGAGGTGCGTTGACGCACCTTGAATGAGAAAACTTGGAGCAAGGCAACGGATGCAGCCGCATCAAGGTCCTTTCAACACGGCCAGTGAGGCCCTTTGAGCACGACCAGTGAGGCTCGAGCGGAGTCCATGTCAACTGACACCGTAGTGGTGCAGATGTATGAAAGTGTTGCAATTTATTCGATGCCCTGTGCAGTTCGCAGAGCTGGGAGAGTCGTGAGGTTGCGTGTCACCAGCCTCGCAGATGGTTTTCGCCCCCTGTTCCTGAAGCATCCTCACAAGTCGAGATGCAAGGTCTCGAGATCACGTTCGGGTCGCCGCAGTACGAAGCCGCCGTGGCGCTGCGCTACGAGGTGCTGCGAAAGCCGCTGGGCATGCAGTTTGATCCTGAAGTCCTCGCCAAGGAAGGCTCGGACATTCACGTGGGGCTCGTTGACGGCGACGCCCTTCTCGCCACCGCCATGCTGCGTCCGGACGTCGACGGTGTCGCGTGGATGAAGCAAGTCGCGGTGCAGCCAAGCATGCACGGGAAGGGCCTCGGGCGCGTCCTCATCGAAGCTCTCGAGACCATCGCGCGGCAAAAGAGCTTTTCGCACATCAAACTCCACTCGCGCGCCACCGCCGTCCCGTTCTACAAGAAGCTCGGGTACACGACGTTTGGCGAGCCCTTTGACGAGGTCGGGATCCCCCACGAGGCTATGGAGAAGGTTCTTCTCATAGTGTAGCTACCTATAATCGACGTGTCATGTTGTAGCATGTCTTGTTGGTCCCACCCACCGTTTCGTGCAGGTTGAGCGGTTTCTATCTATCCAACTGTCTATCGATATCACTGGGCAAACGAAAAGCTGCATGGATAGAATAAAGTAAGATCTTAGGTTTTCTGATGCGCGTAAAAGCGAGCTAGTTCGTCCACCTACAATCGGTCGTTGAGCTGGTCGAAGCTCACAATGTCTGGCTGGAGGCCTTTTCGGAGGCGCGTGGCCGCGACAAGCTTGCCGGCCAAAGTCGCAGCGCTGAGCGGGTCGCCCTCGACGACCTTGTAATGGTCAAACCAGCACTGCGGGAACGCCTTCCCGCCCGTCTTGGCCCGGAGTGCCTCGGTGATCCCAAACGACTCGACGACCGGCACGTGTGCGCGCAGGTGAAGCATGCCGTTGGCTTTGGGCTCCTCGCCAATGACGACGCCGCGGCGAAGGTGCAGCACCGTGTAGACGCCACCAATCACGTCTTGCGGGCACTGCACCTCGACCATGAAAACGGGCTCGAGCAATGCCGGCGACGACGCGAGCTGGCACGCGTGCACGACGCGTCGCGCCGCCGGAAGAATCTGGGCCGTCCCGCGGTGCGCAGCGCTCGAGTGGAAGAGAACATCGACGAGGTTGACGCGGGCGCCCGAAACCACTTCGTCACAGAGGACACCGGCGGACGTTGCCCACTGGAAGCCACGCATGACGCCGTCGCGAATGTCGAGCGTGTTGGCGACCCCCTTGGTCTGGTCGACAAAGATGTTGGACCCGAGGTGGTCGGGGCCGTAGCCCCATATCTTGCGTCCGTCGAGCGCGTCCCATCCGTGCTCGTCGGCAAGGTACCGCGCGCGTATCTTGGGGTCACTGTGGTCGGCCATGACAACCTCGCGCGCCTCCATTGCGGCCACGAGCGCACCACTTAGCGGCTCGGCCGAGCAAAAGAGTCGATTGTGTTTGTTGCTCGACTTGGCCAAACAAACGGTCGCACTCGGTGCGGTGATGGTTTCACGGTACGTGACCACCGGGTTGCTCACGCGCAGCGGCGTGCGCCCCATAAAGTCTTCCTGGAGATCGTGGAGGCAAATCTCGAGGTGGAGCTCGCCCGCGCCGGCGATGATGTGCTCGCCGGTTGTCTCGGTGTAGCAGAGCACCATCGGGTCCGACTTGGCAAGGCGCTTCATGCCTTCGAGAAGCTTGGGAAGGTCGGCCGGCGACTCGGGCTCGACCGCAACGCGCACGACGGGCGACACTGAAAACTTCATGGTGCGAATCGTACACGCGGTCTCGGACGTCGTGATCGTACCGGTCTTGAGAAGGTACTGGTCCACGCCGACGAGGCCGCACGTGCTACCCGCGGGGACATCCGGCATCGCTTCGACGGACCGGCCCATCATGACGACCGTGCGCTGGATCGTCTTGTTGACCCAGAGATCAGTGCTGCTGCCCGGCACGTAGTTGGGCCCGAGGAGCCGGACCTTCTGGCCCGTGGCGATCTTGCCCGAGAAGACACGGCCAAACGCGTAGAAGCGAGTCCGATCCGCCGACGTTGGCACCATCTTGGAGACGTACATGACGAGCGGGCCGTTGACGTCGCAGTTGCGGATGCCCTCGGCGCACTCGTCGTCGAGCGGACCGTCGTAGAGCGTATCGACACGATAGCGCTGGGCAACCACCGGCGACGGAAGGTGATTCTCGAGCATGCTCAGGAGCGCATCGCTCGCCGGCAGCCACGTTTGCATGATGCGCTTGAGCAGCTTGCGCTCAAGAAGCGCGTTGCCGTCGGCGTCCACGAGCGCACTGGGGGCCACACCGATGGAGGCAAGAATCTTGGCCAGCTTCTTGGACTGCTGCTTCATGACAGCGTCGACGAGCTGGTAGATTGGGTCGAGCACAAACTGCACAAAGGCGCGCGGGAACGACGGATCGCGCCGCGTGGTCCACACCTTGCGCACTGGGTCGTAGCCCCAGTCGCCCCAGAGCTTGGGGGCAAGCTTGGCCGCGTCCATGCCAAACTTGGCGGCGTACATGTTGGCAAAGGTCGCGAGGGTAAAGCCCCATTGGTGCAGACCCGACCCGAAGGCGACGTTGCCGACATCCGGATACACTTGGACATCGCCGAGCGCGGCGTCCGCGCACGTCGAGAGGACGACGTTGACGCTCTCGACCGCACGGCGAAGCGATTGGTAGCACTCCTCCGGCTCGAGCTGGAGTTCGAGAAGCGCGCGATCGACCTTGTTGACCATGAGCACGGGCTTGACGCGCTCCGCCATGGCTTGGCGAAGGACCGTTTCGGTCTGGACGCACACCCCGTCGATGGCGTCGACCACGACAAGCGCACCGTCCGTGACACGAAGCGCCGCCGTGACCTCCGACGAGAAATCGACATGACCCGGCGAGTCGATCAAGTTGACGAGGAGCGGGTTGCCCTTGGCCGTCTCAAAGTACATGGAGAGACCTGTCGACTTGATGGTGATGCCGCGGTCCTTCTCGTCGTCGCGCGTGTCAGTGTAGCGCGCACCGCCGGCCGCGCCATGCGAGATGATGCCGGCCTTGGCCACCAAGGCGTCGGTTAGCGTCGACTTGCCGTGGTCGACGTGCGCAATCACAGAGATGTTGCGGACGTTGGCCGGCGTGGACATGAGGGCGTGGAGCTGGGCAATCGTGAAATTGACCTAGAGACGCGTTTTTTAGGATTTGGTTGTTGCGATAGCGGCGTGTACCATGGTGCGGATAAAGTGGTTAGCGAGAGGCGGGGGTGGTTTGTTTTCGGGAAATTGAAAAGTGAGCATGCCTCAAAGAGGTTTGGTGACCTTGCTGTTGTTCGTGACGGACCCGCGAAGATGCTGGGAACGGTTCCTCGGGGATTTGATGTGGTTTTGGTCGGCATGCGACAAGCGCAAAGATCGCACACATTCTCAAAATAGGAATGGTGGTTGAACTTGCCGTAAATCGTGTGGATGAGTGATGGTCGTCGTTGCCTTTGCCAGACGAGATATGACCTTCGACGCGCACCAAAGATACTCTGGGTTCTTGGCGGTTGTCCTTCCAGCAACTATATGTTGGTGGATGCAATGTCGCTCGTATCGGTAGTAGTGCGGACACCAAAATAATTGTGAAGGCCAATATAGCTAAACCGAGACCTAGACGGGGCGGCTATATTGCTACGTTGTTGAGCTCTCAATTTCCAACTGCAAGCAGAGCTGTGCTGCGTTGGGATCAGGGGCCGTATCCACAACAATAAATACCGCTGCACTTACTGCGGCTCATATGCTATTTCCACACCCCGCGGGGACTTCCTTTAGCGCCGGAATTACTAGAGCTCTAGCTCATAGATCGACTATTCATCTATACACAGCCTACCCTACGTGTTATCGAACCTTGACCAGTCGCCGACCCAGCAACAACACAGCGACGCCATTTTCTCTCAGGAGGCCACAGCAGTGCTTTCAAAATGGCATACTAGTACTTCTACACTTGGCTAAAATAGTGTGTTGCTTCAATTGATGCTGATGTACGCCTGTCTGTCTCGATCGAAATACTGTTCCAGTACAAGTGTATGTGTTGCTGTCAAGGTAAAAATAGTATCGTTTCATGTACACGCATGCAGAGCGTGCACCCAGCGCCGACGCAGCACATGCTAGCGAGAGCAGTCATCCACATCAAGCTGAGCAAGCTCTTTCTCGTAGCATCGGTCGTCTTCTCTTGCAGCATTGTTTTCGCGGTGAATCCTTCCTAGAACGAATCTGCTTGGTGGACTAACAAAGCGCTAGCCGCTCAAGGCGTACTTGACCGAGCCACTGCCGTGGACGCTGCCACCAACTTTCAACACATCGCTCAAAGCTCTAGCAATGACGATACCGCCTCGGTACATCAATGCGACAACAGGGGCCTACCACTACGACGCCACCTTCTTCGTCGATGTGTACCGGTACACTGTGCCTTTAGTCAATCGGACGTGCTTGGAGACGCTCGTGCACATCGCCGCAAGCTCGTTCTTTGGTGCTGGCATGCGTGACGCCATCTGCAGTTTTGCGGCGTCAACGAACGACTCGATGGTCTACTGCCAAGACAACTTGTTGTTCTCGACGCACATTAGCTCCGCGTGTGTCTGGGGCGTCCGCCACGCCGGTGGCTTGGCGTTCTACTATGCAACGATACCGCGCTTCAACGTGGGTCAGGTCGTCGCCAAGCTACTCTTCCGCGTCATCATCACACTATACGCCAGTGCACAGATCTATCGAAGCTACTACCGACACTACGCGTCGCTCTTCGAAACACTGCGCCACCACGGCGACGCCAATGTGGTGCGCTACGTGGTCTACCTTGGCGATCCCACGAGCGTCATTCTCTCGGACGGGTTTGTTTCGAGCTGTTTTGTCATCGACATTTATCTCAGCACAAACTGCGTCGTGGGCGGGATTCTACGGCTCAGCCAAATCGACGATTTCGGTCAATTAACCCTCGGCGCGCTCTACACGTCACGGCTCGTACGTTTCCGCGATCTTGTCCAAATAAATCTCATATTTGTAGGTATGGATGGCCTTCTTTGGCATGCGCTACAGCACGCTCGTCATTAAGCGCCTTCGTTGGGAGCACCGCGTGATTGGCCTCGACTCGACCCTTATGATGGCACTCGCATTCTTTGCTTCCACCGGCATCGTCTTGCTCGTGGCCAACACGCCGCTAATGGTATTTTATCACTGGTGCAACGACGTGGGGGCTTCAAGCCCCGACACCGTTGAACTTGCGGTATCAATTGTCTACATGACTCTCTGCATCGCCTCAATTCCGCTGCTCGTGGCCTACACGTGGGTCACTGCCAATCGCTGGAGGGTTCTCAAGCGTGTGTCAACAACAAGAGTGTCCTCGCTACACCTGAGCCAAAGCTTCAAGCAACGCGTGCTCTTCTTCTGCGAGTTTTGCTTCATGACAATACCACCCGACAAGTTGCGTGGCGGCAGCCTGTACCGCTTCTGTGCACTCAACCCGCGTCTTCGCCGACTGCCCCTCGTAGGGTTTGAGAGTGCCGACTGTTTTGTCGACGCCTACGACGTCCATGGCAAACTCCTCTATCGCATGCGTCTGAGCTTGATCTCTGTGGCGCTCGGGACAGGTCGAGTGCTGATCGAAGATGCCGCAGGCAGTCTTCGACTACTACCTGGGAACGAACTGAACGGTTTTTGGTCGCTCGCTCTCACGACGACTTTGACGTCGAAGGATGTGGTTGCTCGCATACGACACGGTCGCTGTACGTCGCCCTGGCTGTTATAAATGAATGACTCCTCGCATGGTGGGGACGTCGTGATCGCGATATGAACGTCGACACAAAAATCATATATTTGACAGACAATGTGTACTTTGCCTTTTTCACGGTTGTCCCATGAACACGCGGTGTGCAGCGCGGATGGTGGCCATGGTGTCTCGTCGCAGTGTGCACTAGATTGCTTGGAGAGCGACAGAACGCCCCGATGCGGACAAGAGCTCAGCACGTGACTGTGTGCGCTACCCAGGACTCCAATCAAATTACCGGCAGCGATCTTGATCTTGGAACTTCAGGTCGCGGCTCGGTGGTAACGATCCAAAATGCATGGATTTCATCAGCACACACGGTCGCGTGGAGGCTTTTTCTTTGAGATCGCGAGCACCTGCGTGACTTGCCTTCGATCCCCGAAGCGAGCCAAGCCATGGATTTTCACAGCCCAAGACTAAACAATGTTCAAAACAGCTGGGATTAGGCAACGTACCGGCGGTGCTCAAAATAGCATCTGGATAAAGTGCAATGTGGCCGGTACACCCGACGCCGAGACCGCTCGCGCCGCCACGTAGCGCACTCTCCAAATCGGTCCAATTCATATCCCTCAGCAAGCTCTTTCTCGCTGCGTCGTGCGTCTTCTCCAGCAACACTTGCTGTGGCCACTCAAGGCGTATATGACCGAGCCGCTGCCATGGACGCTTCCCCCATCCCTCAACACGTCACTGTACGATCTAGAGAGGACGATTCCGGCTCAGTACCGCACGACGAACGCCTACGACTACAACGAGACCTTCGACACCGACGTCTTTCGCTATACGATTGCTGATCCGCCCAATACCACGTGCTTGGACACGCTACTGCGCATTGCGGCCACGCCCTTCTTTGGCGTTGGCATGCGCGACGCTGTGTGCCGTTTTGCATCAACACCATTGACCAATGCGTCAACATCATCGTTTGTCTACTGCCAGGACATTTACCTCGCCCCGTCCCGCACAGGCAGCTCGTGCATTTGGGGCACGCGAGAAGCGTCCGGCATGATCCTCTACTACGCAACGATCCCAACGTTTCATGCCGGCGCCGTCATTGCGAAGCTCATCTATCGTCTAGTACTCTCGCTCTATGCAATCGTGCGGCTTTATACGGGCTACTACCGCCACTACGCGTCGCTCCTCGCCTCGCTGCGACGACTCGACGACGTACACGTGGTGCGCTACGTCGTTTGCATCGGCGATCCCACGAGCGTAGTCTTGTCCGACCTGTATCTATCGGTTGGTTTTGTGATCGACCTTTTTCTAAGCACCAGCACGGTGGTGACTGGCATTCTACGCCTCTCGCAAGTCGACGATTTGCATCAGTTTGCCCTTGGTGCGCTCTACTTGTCGCGACTGGTATATATTCTTTCCGATGCACATTAATGTCTAACATATTCGTTAGGTATGGATGTATTTTTTCGGCATGCGCTACAGCACGTTTCTTATCAAGCGATGGCACTGGGAAGACCGCGTGATGGGCCTTGACGCGACCGTCATGACCGCGGTTATCTTTCTGGCTGCCGCCGGCGTCAACACGCTCATTATCCGCACACCGCTGATGGCGTTCTATCAATGGTGCAACTCGGTAGTTGCGCCCGATCCCGCGAGCATTGACCTCACTCTGGCCTCCGTGTTGTTGACACTGGGCACAGCATCGGGGCCGCTCCTTCTTGCCACAACACTCACCGCTATCAAGCACCGATGCGCCAACGCGACAGCGCAGCAAGTGTGTCTCAGCTTCAAGCAGCGTGTGCTCTTCTATCTCAACTGCGGCGCGATGAAAGAGCACCGAGGCGGCAGTCTCTATCGCCTGTTTGCGCTCGACCCGCGCCTTCGCCGATAACCGCTCATCGGTCTCGAGAGCGCCGACTGTTTTATCGACGGCTACGACGACCAGAATCGTCTCTGTACGCGTCTCCGAGTGAGTCTCCTTGCGGTAGCGCTGGACGCTCGGTATTTGCAAGACGCCACCAAGGGGGCTCGCAGCGTCCTCTCGCTCGTCAAGCCGTATGGCTTCTGCACCCTGGCAGACGCGACAAGCGACGGCGTTGCCCCGCTCGAGACTCGGTGTCGATCGCCTTGGCTACTCTAAGAACGTAAATCTTTGGGTTGGGACTTTGCGAACTCTCTCGAGCTGCTCTCGTTAGTGCAGTCGATTTGCCTTGACGGCGAGGGCAATGGGACGCGCTTGTGTGCAAGTCTATAGAAGTCCATCGATGTCCAACGGTACCACCCACCATACCGGTACGTTGTTAGGTAACTAGGCCCAGAAGCATCTTCAACCCTTTCTGACATCTGGACCTTTGGCTCAGCGCAGGACGACGTGGCCCTTCGCAACCACCGTCCGCGACGGCTAAGAATGGAGAGTGAAACGCTGGTGTTAATTTCATTCCCGTGCATGCTCGCGCGCGTGTCCCCCGGCCCGCGCTCTGCGTCGTTCGTCCAAGTGCTGCCGCGCGCCGTGAAGGCACCGCGCACCATCACATTCGACAAGGCGTTTGCGATCGCGACGCTCTTCTTCGCCAACAACATTGCGGTTGCGGTGTGTACTCAACTGTCCTTTCTCGCAACAACCAAATGATCTCTAGCCACTCAAGGCGTACCTCAACGAACCGCTCCCGTGGGGCCTTCCGCCGTCCTCCAACCTCACACGCCTCGACCTTGCCGCCAGCTTACCTGTTGTTTACGCCAATATCTCGACAGCGTACCATTTTGACAGCGCGACCTTTACCGATGTGCTCCTGCGGCAACCAAGTGCGTTTTCGGGGAGCTGCCTCGCGCATCTCACGGTCCTCGCTGGTGCTCCATTTTATGGTGACGGTCTGCGCGCCGCTGTCTGCGCCTACATCGACGTCAACGCGTCAGCGCCATTCTCGTTTTGCCAAGAGATGTACCTCTTCCGGAAGCTCGTCGGCCACGGGTGCGTCTGGACACGGCAGGTCGCGAACCAGACGGTCTTTTACTACGCCACCCGCGCCGTCTTTGAAACGAATGTTGTCTGGTTCAAGCTCTTTTATCGCATAGCTTTGACGCTCTATGCCAGCGTCCAACTCTGGCGCTGCTACTACCGACAGTACGCGAGTCTCCTGCGCACTTTGCGCAACCGAAGCTCGGCGGTCCACGTTGTGCGCTACCACGTGTTTGTGGGGGACCCTACGGGCGTCGTCTTGTCCGACCCGCTCCTCGTCCTCGCGTTTCTCGTTGATATTTTTTTGAGCTCGTACCAATTGACCGCGTCGATCTTGCACCTCGGTGAAATCGACGATATTGTGCAGTTTTCTCTCGGGGCATTTTACTTATCGCGTTTGGTACGATGTACACTATTATCTACAAGACACTAGGTGCATTTGACAACTTGGTTGTACTAGGTGTGGGCAGTCTTTTTTGGCATGCGCTACGGCACATATATCATCAAGTTTCTGCGGTGCGAGCGTCATTTCTCGAGCTTGGATACGACCGCCATGACGGTGTTGACACTCGGGTTGACGGCTACGATCAGTCTCATTGTTGCCCACTCGCCGCTCATGGGCATGTACCACTGGATGAACGCCCTCGGCCTCGTGGAAGAAACGGCGCCCGTAGCGATCGAAATTGCGGCGTCAGCGATCGCGCTCGCAGTCTGTACAGCAGCAACTCCGCTCCATTTGGCGCTCGCCCTCGCCTTCTGTCGACGCCACCGCGGCAAACGTACGTCCTTTCTTCCTGCATGTCAACCAGCCATGTCCCGTGGCGACACTAGGAACGTTCTCGTTTCGACGTAACCAAAACGTCAAGCAGCGTGTGCTCTTTACGTGCCATCGCGATCATGTGGTCGAGCACGAAGGAGGAAGTCTCTACCGCCTCTTCAAGCTCAACCCGCGCTACCGTCGCTTGCCGCTTGTAGGTCTCGAGGGCGCCGACTGCTTTGTCGACGGCTACGATAGCACGGGCACTGTCGTCTTGCGCCTGCGCTTGAGCTTGATGGACGTGGCGCTCGACCAACGCGTGAGCGGAGACGCTGTGAAGCTCGATCACCATAGCGGCGAAGATGACTTTTGCACGTTGTCGAACGCGCCGACGGGCAAGGCGAGCACGACGCCGACCCCTTCGTCGTCCCCATGGTTGTTATAGCACCGAATAAGCTAGTAGAGTTGTGCAAAGCTATCTACGTTTCAAGGCTTCGAGTGGCATTGACGATCCTACTAGTACGTCGTTTGAAGGCAAATTATCTTTGTCAGTCGACCTCTTGGTGACGAGTTGTCACAAGTCTGACGACATAGGTGCGGAGCTCTCGTGTCGTCTGGTGTCATGAAATGGTGACGTGGCATCATGACGGCATTTTATTCACATGGTAGTAGCTGATACATTGAAACTGTGCACCCAGCGGCCGTCGGTGATTGGTCGCTTGGCTTGGTATAACAATGTGCGTCACCCGACGCTTTGTCGTGTCACATCTTGCTGTTCTTTGTGTTCATGCGGACGTTCCACCCGTGTCGCCAGCGCCATTGAATGCTGTGCGCACGCAGCGGCCCGCCCGACTGCACAAGCTCCTTCTCCTGGCGTCGTTTGTGTTCTCCTGCCACGTCGCCCTGGCGGTCCAGGTATATTTTCGACAAGCATATCATCGACTCTACCTCTTGTGCGCAGCCTATCAAGGTGTACTTGTCCGAAAACATTTTGTCGTCCCAAAAAGACCATCCCTTGCTTTGTCTTGTCGCGGCATTCTGCAATGAAGCGTATCCAACTGAAGAATCTCCTCGTCCAAACGATAGGTTCTTAGAGGGGTTAGTAGAGAAGACTACGCGAAGCCTTTTGCGTTTTGAATAATGCATTGGTGCATCAGAGTTGGTGTGCTCAGCACGTGCAGTTATACAGTTTGGATTTACCTCCACATTGTGGCTTAAAAAGGTATGTACCGAGTGCGTCGATCGGGCGGCGTATACTGCGTGTGCGTTGTGTTGGCCGACGCAAAAACACCATTTTGAACGCAGCGCACGCCCAGGTCCTTGGCCTTGAGCGTCGCCACATCTTCTTCTTCATCACTGCTGTCGCTATGCTTCCGATATCGGCGGTGGCGGTTGTTGTCATCGCTCTCTTCGCTGTCCTCGTCATCGCTCTCTTCGTTGTCCGTCATATCCAGCGTCACATTTTCGGTGGTTGCCAAGGCCGCCACACAAGCACAACGAGCCAAGCCCAACAGTGCGTTCTTTCTGAGGTCGATTGTCACGGCGTGCGGCGGTCGAAGCTGCGCGAGTGACGCCGCCAGCATCATCACACGAGCCTTGCCTTGGCGTAGGAGTGCACAACGCAACGGGCTCTGCCACCCCGAGAAGACGTACAAGGCCGAACGCCATTGCTCGCGGGCGCCAAGTCTCACGAACGACGCAACGAGAGACGTGCCGCAGCGAGTGAGCCAGATCGGTAGTACGTGGCTGAGCGCTTTGATTTGGCGCGTCGAAAGCTTGGAGAGTCGAAGGTTGAGCGTCTGCAGCGTTGTGGTCGTGCGCAAGATCGACACGAGCGATGCAAATGCCGAGGATGAAAACGACCCGCTGGTCAAGTGGAGGTGGCCGAGCTTGTGCAACTCGATGGGTAGCTCGGCGTCGAGGCTGCCGCCGTGAATTTTGAGGTCTTTCAAATAAGGCATGGTCCCGGTGGCCGCCACCAAGGCATCGACGTTGCCGATGGCGACCCCGCGAGCTCGAGCACACGCAAGCGCGCACCTTGCAGTATCGACGCCCACCTTGATCGATGCACTGGTCGCCACAGAAAGTTGCCGATTTGGAGCGTTGTTAACCGGCGTGGCATGTCGAACCGTGGCGGGTACTTGGCGGCCAGCAGTATCGCTTCGATCGTATCTACGTCCAGCAAGCGAAGCGAGCTCAACGTTTTGGACTGGAAGAGTGCTGCTACAATGAAGCGCCCGCCTTCCACCGAGCAGTTGACGCCTTCCAAGACCATCGAGGTAACATGAGCTTGCTTGAGCCAGTCATAAAAGCACTTCGTATTGTGCAGCGACGGCGCCGCCGACTGAGAAGCTGTCGACTCGAGGTGGAGGTGCTCCAAGAAAGGCCACACATTGCGTATCATGTCCACAAAGGTGTGAAGCGCAGCGTCGTTGAGAACAGCCCATCGTACATGCGCGCGACGCACGTTCCGACATGCGGCGAGCGCTCGATAGATGGTCTCGTGGGCCGAGGGCGGAATGTCGATCGTCACCTCCATGACGCTCAACGAATGTGTCGTGAGCGCGCTTTGTACAGTTCGAGCGGGTCGTGGGGAATCGTCGTTGTCCCAAAAGCTACTCGTGTCTTCGACAACAACCGACACGGTGGAGGGCAAGCGCAAGCTACAGGTGTCGCTCGACTGCGTGAGGCGGATCGCATTGATGGCTGGCAGTGCTCGCTGCAGCACAGAATACGCCGTCGTGGGCACATACAAGAGACGGAGCTCGGGCCACAGCGCGTGGTGGAAGGCTGTGGGCAGAATGTCGATGAGCTCGAGGAGTGCAACGAGAGCGTCGTCAAGAGCGCGTCTGGGCAGCGCATGCAAAAAGCTCGTTACGTCGACCAGTGACGCAATACGACGCGTGATCTCGAGCGCGACGGCCGGATGCTCCCACGCTGACATTGCCTGCTGCGTGGCAAAAGGCAAAATGGTGTGGACTTTCTTCAAGCGCTCTTGTGATTGGTTCAAGCCAGAACGGCTCGACCAATCAAACGTGGTCGTCAAGATTTGCACTGAGTGTGGCAGCGGTGGATAAAAATTATCAAGATGCAACGTACCGTAGCATCTTGAAGGGCAGACAGTCCTGTGTGAGGTAGTGTGTGAGGTGATATCTGCAGCCAATAGCCTTGTGGAACAACGATACCCAAGAGCAAGACCTGCTGTATGTAATTTTGGGTGTGGAGCTCGCAACGCGGACCAGTCTTCCATGAAGAATTCGGCAATGCAGTGGTGCTTGAATATTGGAGGGTCAGGTGCAAGGGAATAAATGCGAGCAGTAACGTCAAGTTCCTACTGTAGCCATGCAAAAGTGTTCCTTCACCCGCAACCTTGCCCCCCGCCAGTGTCCCTGGTGCTGTAGAAGCACATCGGCATTTTATTGGCTCTCTTGCTGTGAATTTAGACCAATCATATGCGAGTAGGATATAATCAGCGGGCGCTCGCTGGAACGAGGCCATCAGGTCGACCAAATGCATTTCAAAATGGAATCGCTCAAACTTGGCAGGAAGATAAAGGACACTTGGGAGACCACGAAATGCTACGCCACGTCGACGTGCAAGCTATATAGCAAGAGTTATGGGTCGGAATCTTAATTGTGGCAGACGCCACTTATCACCTGATATACCATAAATAAACTCATTAAAATCTAGATATGGCATATGCCATTATTAAGATTTCAGTCCATAACTCTTGTTTTATAGCTTGCACGTCGACGTGGCGTAGCATTCCGTGGTCTCCCAAGTGTCCTTTATCTTCCTGCTAAGTCTGAGCGATTCCATTTTGAAATGCATTTGGTCGATCTGATGGCCTCGGTCCGACGGCTCCAACGAGCGCTCGGCGACGATTTCCTACTCGCATATGATTGGTCTAAACTCGCAACAAAAGAGCCAATAAAAGACTTGATCACAAAACGTCGGTCAAGATTGTCATTGGGACCTAAAGACGTTTGGCGCCAGCGACTGCAGACCCAGCGACGTGGCAAATGCACCAAGAGTGTCTTGAACGTCGTCGTCTCCACGGGTCTCGTCGCCTTCATTGTCTTGGAGGTCGAGCGTCACGTTCTCGCTCAACGCCAAGGCCATGACACAGGCGCGTCGAGCGAGGCTCGAGAGGCGATTACCGCGCAGCTGTATAATCGCCGCATGTGTACATTGCAGCTGTGTGATCATCGACGCCAGCAGCCGCACACGGACAAGCCCTCGCGCCAGTAGCTTCCACCGCAACGGACTCTTGG